CCCCCGGGAGCCGTGTGAGACACTTTTTTTTTTTATGGATGGGCGCTTTTTATTTAACTTCTTTTGGACTGAAGCAATGCAACACCCGCTGACTGCAATGATAAGAGCTTGAAAGATCAAAGACAATTTTTAATATAACTCCGACTGGATTCGTCTGAAAGAAGAAAGTCATATACACCTAGGATGCCTCGGGGGTGAGTAAAACACAGCCTAATTTTCATTTTTGGGTAACTAACCCTTTAAGGGATACTATTCTCTAAAGCTGCTTGAAACAAAAAGTAAAACAAATTGAAAACAAAAACAAAAAACCTATATAAACATTTATTCATAAATCATGTATTCACAAATCAAACAATGTTTGTAAAAAAAAAAAAAAAAGTTTTATTCATACAAAATAAGTCTACTTTTGAGAACTACAAAAGGAAGTCATATATTTCTACACATTTTGCAGTTTTGATCTGGACGATAAAACTGAACACAGATAGTTGCACACTACTACATTGTCAAAATTGTCAAAATTACAACCAGAAACCTGAATCGATCAGTCCCACTAAATCACAGTGGTGCCGTATTCGTGTTCACCGTCCCGCTACAGGACAGCCGTCTGATGGTGATGAAGTCCTCAGTGATCCTTCATCTGGTCCTCCTCCTCCAGTCTGCGTATCTCTCCCTTCAGGAAGTTGATGTTTTCTCTGGAGGCTTTCAGTCGCTCCTTCAGCTCTGCGATCTCCAGGCTTGTCTTCTTCTTCGCCGCTTCCACTTTTTCTCGTGTTCGTAACTCCAGCTCTGAAACTGAATGTTTGGTTCACATGATTAGAACTGTTGTGACTCTAGTATTTATGCTGTCTATTTCACAGTATTTTCACACGCTGTCCAATGATAGGAGCTGTGAAGGTAAGCGAAGCACTCACACTCGGTCTCGTGTTTGTAGGCACCTAACGTCAGCTGTCTGGTGGTGTTCAGGAGCTGTTGCATCATGGCTGTAGGGTCTTGAAATATCTGCAGAAACACAGATTTTAGGCTTTAGGATTGATTGTATTAATACTGTAATGTCATGCTATCCAATAATGACTCCAGTCCATCAATTACTGTCTTGTAAAGTGAAAAGCTGTGTGTTTCTAAGAAACAAATCCATTATTTAGGCATTTTAACTTTAAACAGTAACTTCTGGCCAAAATCCATAATCCATAACACATACTGGTAAAAAATGTATAGCCTGAATGCACTGTAAGTCGCTTTGGATAAAAGCGTCTGCTAAATGCATAAATTATTAAATTAAATTATTATAAATTATAACACTTCATCCAGTGAAAAAGTCCATCCCCTGTTGTCCACTCACATCGGAATCCACCAACATATTTGATTAAAACTGTTTTGGACTGTTTTCTGTAACAGTGGAAACTTTTTTTTGGAAAGTTGCTGTAACACTTTAGTATAGGGACCAATTCTTACTATTAAGTTGCTTATTAGCATGCCTATTATTAACATATTGGCTGTTTATTAGTACTTATAAAACACATATTCTGCATGACCATATTCTACATCCCTAATCCTACCCAATACCTAAATTTAACAACTACCTTAACTATTAATAAGCATTCAAAATTAGAAGTTTATTGAGGCAAAATTCATAGTTAATGGTTTGTTAATAGTGGGGATTGAACCTTAAAATAAAGTGTGACCGTTTTTGCTTATAAAAAGTGCTTGATCTGTGCATATTTCTCTACTGATTCAGACAAGACAACTTTTTTTTTTTAAAATCATGGATAGAGGACTCATATTTTAGACGGAAGCAACAGTTTGAAGTTAAAAACTATCTTGATGGATTTATTTCTTACAAACACACAGTTTGTGATGTTTTCATCAGCTGTTTGGACTTTCATTCTGACGGCACCCATTCACTACAGAGGATCTATTGGTGAGCAAGTGATATAATGCTAAAATTCTCCAAATCTGTTCAAATGAAAAAAAAACAAAAAAACAAGCTCATCTACATCTTGCATTGCCTGAGGGTGAGTAAATTTTCAGCATACTTTCATTTTTAGGTGAACTTTGACCAAGTAAAAAAAAAAAAAGTGTAATTCCAAGTCTTTATGGTATTCTGGTTTCTAAACATAGCTTGGTTCCCTTTTTTTCACTTGTTTTATGACAAAATGTTGTCTGATTGCTTGGAAAAGTAATAGCACACCTGTCTGAGGTTAAAACGTTTGAGGTGTTCCAAAGGTTGGATGGCGTTCCTACTGCACCTCAGGTTAATAAGACAACCAGTTTACAGCACTGTTGTTTTAAACTTGGATTTAAGCTCATCATTGACAGAGTCTGTCAATGTCTGTCTCTCATGCAAGCGGACTTGACTGTTAAAGGGAATGATGAGTTAGAGGAATTCTGTCTCCTAAATGAGCGAGGTTAATTGTGATGCTGACCCCTTCATTCCAGCAATAGCTCCGACGTGTTCCATGCTGGGCACATTGCTGAGGTCACACATGAGCGGGTATGGAATGAAATGTCGCTTATTTACATATAGATTGATGGCTGTCCGCTTTATCACCTCTCAGCGATTAAATATTAACCGTGGTAGAGAATGCCATAAAGCCACGCTCGGGAATCACAGCTGACTTTTGGACTGCTGTTATAAAGTTTTACTGCAGTATGTTGTAGCGAATGTGATTTGAACACACCTCCAACCATACATATTAAATCTGGTGCATTAACTCACCCCACTCACACTGTTTGGATTACAGAAATAAATGATGCCCCAAATCATGTGGCTCATACATAACCAGAAATAAAGTAAAATAAGACATAAAATAAAATTAAAAAGTCACTTTATGACTAGAGTCAGTAGAGTCTATTATTAGTAGGCATTATTATATAAATAAATAACATAGTTTTCCATAAAGCATCTGTTTTCAATATTCTGCTGACTCCAGTCATAAATTATCTTTCATTTTATTTTGATTAAACTGGTCATGTAAAAATATCTCCGTACAAATTTGGCTTATAAAATACCCATGATATGCTAGAATCTCTGAATTTTGAGCTGTCACATGCAGTAAGGGGACAAGCCACGCCCACTCATGTGTGCTGCAGAATGATTGGCGGTTGATTGCTGAAACATGTCATTGTCTGCCTTGTTTACCATGGCCACTAATTAAGTCATGATTCGACATGTTTCCCCCCATCGGATGCTAATTACAGGCATGAGACTGTTCGTTAGGACGTCCCAGTTCAGTGAATGTTTATATTGGAAGGTGTGTAGGCGCACAAAATAAGCATTGACTCAAACCAGATGCAGGAAATTCTATATGTATCTGAGTTAACTGAATTAGCCCTCTTAATGATTAACGCAGTCACTCTGGCTAACTTAAACCCCTGCAAATGTAAATGTATACATTTAATGTGAATAATCTCTGCTCTCAATCACTGTATTGTAGCTTGTCTCCAGGGACTTAATGGGACAAACACAGAATATGTGTTTTGTGCATTGTCATCTGTTGCATCATGTTTCACTGTTCTATCAGCAACTTGCAGCAATAGATGAAAAAGTATCAGTTACAGATGGGAAAAATACCAATAATTTTTTTCATAAATTTTTTAAACTATATTCTGAGTAAATGCTGTGTAAATTTAAATGTTCATTCATTTTAGAGATGCTTTTATCCAATGCAAATTGCATTACATTCAACTTATAAATTGTATCAGTTTGTGCATTCATTGGGAATTTAACCCATGGCCTTGGCTTTGCTAGTACCAGCACCATGTTCTATTTTAAAACTTTATCAGCTTATTAATTTTAATTACATGCAATGACTTTCTGCCAGTGGTCCAATGTGAAAGACAGATGCTAGATGTAGATGCTTGACGTAGAGCTATTTTTTGTGCTCTGCAACCAAGCAAAATACAACATTTTTTTCCAAAACTAAACAAGAACACTGTGGAACCGTCCCCTGCCTCACTATACCATTCTCCTTATGAATGAAAAATGTACGGCGCTGCTGGTAATAGAGATGGAGAGACAGACAGCGCAGCCTGTCTCACATGTTGCTGTGCTCTTGACAGGCAGTGTGGACAATGCCCTATCCCCTAAGTGCCCCTATTAAATCAGGCCCGAGCCTGCAGGCCAGAGGATTAGTGTGAACACAGTAATTTCCCCTGGTAGCGGATTTGCCTTCCATTAGCTGACAGTGCCCCTGGCTCCCTCTGCTTCAACTCCATTTGAGGTCAATTGTCTGCTAGACCAAGTCAGGTACTTTCGCTTAATTAAAAGTTCATAGCAGCCGAGACCATCTGGAGAAAAAAAAATCATATTGTGTTCTGGATAAGAGTGAAATTCATTATAAGTGAAATGAGAATTGTTACTGATTTGATGATTCTGGTGATGGTTTGGACTCCATTTAATTATTTTGGATCCTTAACAATTCCATTAATGATTCTTTCGGAACAATCACCCCCAACAATTGGTCCTAATTATATCACAAACAAAACGGCTAAACAGAAACAATACTATTGACTTGTGTGTGTGTGTGTGTGTGTGTTTAGTAATCAAAAGTAAAACTAAAATAAGTATTTTCAATGCAGAGGAGAATCGAATAATTGATTAGTGGTCATGGTCTTTCTCTGTCCCTTTTCTCGCCCTCCTTTTTAAGACATAACATCCTCTTTTCATACATATTTTATAGCCTGTATGAGGGTTGTCGGTCAGCTGTCTGGGGACCCTGACAGATGTCCGCACCGGCCCACTCCAGGACACTTCGGGGAAGGGAGGGTGTCTCCTATGGTAGTTCCTCCCGTCTCCATGGGTCCCATCTGTTGGGTGTCTCCAGCTCAGGGTTTCAATGGCTGGCTGCTGTAGATCAGATAATATTTCCTATGCATGTCCAACAGAGAGAAATGCATATATTTCTCAGTCTGCTCTTGGGGGGCTGCACTTCATGTAACCAGTTGATATTATTTTCATCCTGCAAGGGTGGGAGAAATTAAGATGACAAAATGACAGATGGTATGAGAGTCTCAAATTTGGGTGGCATGAGCCAAGGCAAGTTTTAGGAACATAGGTCATGGGAATGTATAGCATAACTGAATGACAGTATCAAACTGTATAACCAAACTATGGAAAGGCATAAATAAATAACTGTTACAAAATGAATAGTTTAAACATACAGCAATTCTAAAGTAGAAAATACATGCAATGCAATTAACTGACATTGTGTCCAAATACCATTTGGAGCCACTGTAAGTCAGTGAGAAGCCCAGAGGGGCGTCTGATTGTCTCAATCCAGGGTGGTCCGGCCATAAGGGGATGTGTCAGATAGCGACATGCTGGCCCCTGGATATAATTACTGCCCATCTTCAGCACTGAGGATACTCATACTGGAACCTTGGTGTAATGTTCACATTACATGGTGAAAAAGGCCCAAATCAGATTTTGTCTGCATGTGACATGTGATTTTTCCAGAACAGTGAGAAAACAAACAATCCAATCTTTTCTAATCTGATTTGGAATATGTGATCCAACATCTGAACAGATTCAATCTGCAGTCCTGCAACATAGACAGACATAGATAGATAGATAGATAGATAGATAGATATGTGTGTATGTGAGAGTGTGGGCTGGTGTGCATCACACTAGACTCTACTTGAGTACTCTACACTCAGTGTGGAGGAGGATGAAGCAGAATATGGAAGAACTGAAGTCTTTTCAGCTCGGTGTGAAACTAGAGTTCAAACAGAGGGTCACATGTGCAATGCAAACCCCAAATCCAGCCAAACACAGTCATGCATGATACCATTAATACCAGTACAAGTAGTGCTTTCCAGACTGTTTGTAGTATACCCGCATAACATACTGTGTATCCATCAAGCTCATTAAAGCTTGTGAAGTCCAGGAGGAGAAGACCTCATTCTCAGGGGCGAGTGAATTTGATTGGCTGTTGCGGGGAGCTTGCGTGTAGCCTGTGGCCAGGTGAGCAGCGCTCTGAAATATTAATGAGTGTATTACTGACTGGCCTCTACCAGGTCAGCACAAACCGTATGAAGCTAATG